AATTAGTCTCAAAAGGACAAATATTGTATGAGACCATTATTATAAGAACTCAAGAAAAGGTTTAAACACAGAAGAAAACATTCTTTGATGGTTACAAGGGTGGGGCGGGAGGGAGAGGGGAATTCACTAATTAGATAGTAGACAACAATTATCTCATGTGAAGGAAAGGACAACACACAATACCAAGGAAATCAGCACAAGTGGACTAAACCAAAAGCTAAGAAGTTTCCTGAATACAACAAAACACTTCAAGGGACAGAGTAGCAGGGGAGGGGATCTGAGGACCATTGTTTCAGGGGACATCTAGGTCAATTGGCATAACAAAGTTTATTAAGAAAATGTTCTGTATCCCACTTTGGTGAGTGGCATCTGGGGACTTAAAAGCTTTCGAGCGGCCATCTAAGATGCATCAATTGGTCCCAACCAATCTGGAGCAAAGGAGAATGAAGAACACCAAAGACACAAGGAAAATATTAGCCCAAGAGACGAAAGGGCCACATAAAACAAACTCCATCAGCCTGCCATCAGAACTAGATGGTGCCTAGCCACCACCAATGACTGCCCTGATGGGGAACACAACAAAGAGTCCCTGATGGAGCAGGAGAAAAGTGGGATGCAGAACTCAAATTCATGTAAAAATACCAAACTTAATGGTCTCACTAAGACTAGAGGAACCCCATAAGCCATGGCCCCCAGACTCTTTGTTAACTCTGAACTAAAACCATTCCCGAAGCCAACTCTTCAGAAAAAGATTAGACTGGACTATGAAACATAAAATAATACTAGTGAAGAGCATGCTTCTTAGTTCAAGTAGATACACAAGACTAAATGGGACAGGGACAGGAGCTAGCTGAATGGATATAGGAAACCCAGGGTGGAAAGGGGGGGGGGGTGTGCTGTCACATTAAAGGGATTGCAACTAGGGTCACATAACAATATATGTATAAATTTTTGTATGAGAAATTAACTTGAGCTGTAAACTTTCACCTAAAGTACAATAAATAAGTAAATACATAAGAATATAGACTCCACACATTCCAGGATCAAATTCTGTTTCATAAGCATAACACTAGCCAATCAATTTTATCACTCTAAGCCAGTAGTTCACTAACTTTGCTGCACATTAGAATACCTGGAAAGCTTTTACACTCCCAGTGCCCATGTTTCACCACATACCAATTAAATCAGAACGTCTGGGCGTGGGAGCCGAGTATCAGTACTTTTTAAAGATCCCCTGTGTTCCAATGTACAGCAAAGTTTGAGAACCACTGCTATAAACTCTTGACGCTCAAAGTCTAGCCTGCAAACCAGTAGCATGAGCATCACCTGAGGAATTGTTAGAAATGCAGAGTCTCAGGCCCTACCCTAGACTAAGTGAGAATCAGAATCTGCAATGTGACCTAGGTGATTCATATACACATTAAATTTTGAGAAGCATTGGACAATAGCCTCTAAATTGGAATCGCCCAGGTAATCTTAAAAAAAAAAAAAAAAACTAAAGCCTGCATCCCACCCCTGATAATCTGATTTTGTTGGTCTAAATCAGGGCTTTGAACCGATTCACCAACAGGGTTCTTTCGGGATGGAACCCCTGCTGAGAATTTGCATTTCTAACAAGTTCCCAAGTGATGCTAATGCTGCTGATAAGGGACCAATTCTGAGAACCACTAGTACAGCAGTGGTTCTCAAAATTTATTGTACATAAGAATCACCTAGGAATCTTGTTAAAATGTAGATTCTGATTCAGTATATCTGGGGTGGAAATCCAAATTCTCAGCAGAGATTCAAATGAGAATGAACTGGTTCGAAGCCCTGGTCTCAATGCAGCGAGGGCACAAAGAGTTTTCAAAGCCACCCAGGTGATTTTAATTTACAGCTAACGTGAGAAGCAGTGCTCTAAACCTCTGTTTCCTGATCTGTAAAATAGATTGCTGCCAACAGTAAATAAGACAATGTTTATAAATAACTTGACACAGGGCTTAACACATAGAAAGTGTTCAAGAATTATAAGAGTAGTTATTATTACTTAATATTAGCTTCAGTACAATTAATGACAAATTAATCCATGTTGATACAAAATTCTGTACTACAATGAGAAGTGCTTTAACAGTTCTGGATAGTAATAGATTAACACCTCCAGACTAAGCTAGGCTTAGGCGCCTTGTCATAGATCTATGCACTTTATACCTGTTTAAAAAAAGAAAACAAAAAACCATTGCGTCGAGTTAATTCCAACTCATAGCAACCCTATAGGACAGGGTAGAATTGCCCTATAGGGTTTACAAGGAGCAGCTGGTGAATTCCAACTGCTGACTTATTGGTTGACAGCCAAGCTCTTAACCACTGTGCTACCAGGGCTCCACTTTATAGTGAGATCCTTTTGTCATTTCCTTAAGCAAACTCTCTTGGTTAGAATTTTAGAAGGACTCCATTTTTGCAGAGTTAAATCTAAAATGAATCAAAGGAATGATTAAGACCCCAATACTCAGAAGGGAATGTCACATACCTGGATCAGGTAAAATCTTTGGAGGGGATCTCTTTACAGGTTTATATTGATGGAGGGAAGAGTGAGAGATGAAGTCACATATGGTCAAGATACAGCCCCATTTCTCATGAATGTGAATGGCCATGAGACACCCTGGGAAGTTCAAGCCAGTTGCAGTGTTTCTCAGCAACTTTTCATCCTCCTTAAAAGGGACCTATACAACAATGTCTGCATTTGTGTGTAGCCTAACCATTGCCGTTGGCCAAGCCAAGTACAATCATGCTCTATCAAGGCCAACTTAGAATCAGGCCACTAGACCTACTAATATGGGCAAGACTCCTTTATGCATCTAGAGAGTATATCCTTGTGCTATTGTTGGAAAGCAGACAGATTTATGCAAAAGAGCTTACTTATAATAGTCACATTTCAAGAAAAGAATGAGATATATTCTCTTACAGTAAGTCCTGGCTACCTTATAACCAATTTTCCCCCTCCCACTGGCCTCCTTGCTGGTCCTTAAACACACCTGGTAAATTTTAAGAGTTTTGCATTTCCTGTCACTGCTGCTTGAAATACTCTTCCCCAGATGAGAAGACATGATCTTTCAATTCATCCCAAGCTTTTCTCAAATGTCTCAACAAGGAGGCCATTTCTAAATTCTCTTACCTAATAGAACTCTCCATACCCTGCCATTTTTCTTTAAAACATTTTCAATACCTGACCAAATATTTCATGTTTATTAGTTTATTGTTTATGGGCTATCTCCCACTTGAGAAGGTCATGAAAGCAAGGACATAACCAGTTTTTTTCGGTGTTATCTTTTCAGTGACTAAAGCAATGCCTGGAATATAATAAATGCTCAAAAAATGTCTATTGACTGAATAACCGAATAAATGAAAGCATGGAAGAATAGATTAATGAATTTGGGTATTTCACATAAAAAAAGATATAAGTAATGATAGAAATGCTTTCATATTATCTTTCACTTTAGTAACCAAAGGCCATACAAGTAACAAAAATAATGAGTCTTAAGAATTTTTCAGAATTTCTTTGGTCTTGCCTATCTTAATTATTTATAAGAATAAAACAAACTATGTTAATCCACTCACACAAGAGGCATGTTTTTCACACTTGTTCTTCATTTATGCTTGCTCTCTTTATGTCACAAAAATGATATTAACATTATGGTTTTAATTCATTACCTACTGACAAAATTATTCAAAGAAACATTATCTTCTAGCCCTTTTTGTTTTTTTTACCTTGGAACCAGGCAGTCAGCTCTCTGAAGAGTTGTGGCATCCAGTTCAAAAAGAGATGCAATGTCATTTCCATGTGGGACTGAGACCAAAGTGTACATGATCTTCTCCCCTGCTTGGCGTTTTTTCTTTGAAGTTGGGAGGTCTCCTTCTCTCTATTGAGGAGGTACAAGGTTATTTATTTTATCAGATTTCTTACTGAACTCTCCAATTATTCCAGACATAAGATTTAAATCTGCACATTATTTCTTAATTCAATTATACCAGTGTGTATTTTGCATCATCCAAAAAGAGTTGCTCAGACCTGAAGCCCTTGAGGTAATTATTATCAACAGTGATAAGCTAGAGACTCCTGGAGGGTAGTTTGATCATTAGGGCACTAACAGTCACAATAGCTAGAGTCTCATCCCTTGTATTAAACCTATTTACAGAGTAGTAATTTTAACCACTCCACATTAAAAATAAACACAGAAATAAGATAGTGTGTTGAATTATCTAGATGTCATATATTAAAGAGTAAGCATGGAAGTGTTTCAGAGTTCATGCCCAAACATAATCCACAACATTCCCATTCGGTTCATTGGCTTGTTCCATTAGATTCAAGCACATACTATAATTGCATAAAAGGTGAAAGAAAATGAGATCTTAACAAACAGAATCCCTCGTGATAATGTGAAACTCAGTCAATACTCCCAGCACACCTTACCATTTTACACAGGCAACACAAAGACTAATAACTATGTATTTTTACTTGAACTGCCCCAACCTCCAGTGCCCCATGAAATACCTCAATGTGCAAGAAACCAAAATGTAATACCACAAAGGCAATATCATCTTGATAATTAAGTACATAGATATAATTACTTACAAGTACTTACTAAAACAAGTGAAATTTGAAAAATAGAGAGAGGGAGTCATTGCACCATCACAAGAAGGTGAATGAAATGGGTGAGGAAAGGGATGCTCAAAAAGCAAATGAAAACCTTTTAAAACAAATGTTTATTGAATGACTGCTGTGATGATGAGATATTACAGCTGACCATTCCAGAACATTCACATAGAGTTCCATTCCCTGCCCTCCAAGATTGTGAATATCATTTTCCTTGGACCAGAAAACCCTTGCAGTTTAGTTTTTAGTCTCTTCCGTAAATGGTGCACAAACTGACAGCACAACTGAACCGTGAACAGGCAGAGAGAACTGCCAGGGTTCCTAAGAAGGAGCAGGACTGCTCTCTGCTAACTCCCACATAGCCCAGCACCGCCTGGTAGCTCCTGTCATCTTTACGTCCTTTGCAGAGACCAAAAATCAGAGTTAAATGATGGCAGGGGTCTGTAAACTCTTCCCAGGTGATTTGATTCCCATAATAGTTGTTTCTAACCAGTAAATATGAACTATGTTTATTGATCAGAAAGTTATTGGGATTTTCTCTGCCTGCTTAACAACTTTGCATTATATGGGAGTGTGAGGAGGTAGGAAAGAAAGAAATGCAGAGATAAGCAGATTATACTTTTGAATTTACACAAAGTTTCTCACAATAACAAAGTTTGTCCCTTGGTTCTTCTCATTGATTGATATCACAAGAAAAAATTGAGAGATGGAAAGGGAAGCATTATCTTTGCCATTAAACGAACAGGTGAGTACAGTTACTTACAAGGAGAAGGAGGATGAGGAGAGGGGAGGGAGGAAGGAGGAAGAACTGAGGAGAAAGAGGAGGAAGGGAAGGGAAAGGAAAGGAGAAGCAGATGAGAGGAAGAGTGGGAAGGAAAAGGGAAAGACAGAGAAGGAAAAGGGAGCAATGAGTAGTAAAATGTTCAACCCCAAATTCAACTGGCTAGGGTTGCAATCCTAGCTAGCCCAGGCCAGAGGCCTAGAGCCCTCAAACACTGAATGAGTCACTTTTCAAAGGCTAGGCATGAACACATGGACAAGAACCTTCCTCAAGTCTTCTGAAAGAATTATCTTGAATCATGAGGCACATTTTCACAGTTCTTTGCATTGAAGGCATTGAAGTCTGAGAACTGAAGACAAAATTTTATGAAAGGCAGAAACATCCTCCCATCCTGGGAGAAGAAGATCTAAACGTCTTTAAATAACCTAACAATAAGTAGTCTCGCTAGCCAAACGAGTTGGGAGAGATGGCTGCCCAGATGATACGATAGCTTAGGATCACGGAATCCCAAGTTTGGAGAGGGTCTTTAGACATCACCTGTGAGTTGAAAAGACTTCTTCCCAAATAAATTTCTGCCAGCAGCTAGTCAAGTGAAATTGTATTACTTGTAATTTATACTTTTGGGTCTAGAAGGTATTTTGGGTTTTAATTATTACCAGTTGAAATTCAAACAACCTTTTGTATGGTCTTGTTCATTTGCTGCATTTCAACTTTCACAGTGAGTTGGGAGCAAGATCCTAAAGGAAAGATAACTAGTTGGAGAGGAAAGGTAGAAACAGTGGGGACGGGGGAAGCTGGGGGGCGGTGAAGAGGGAGAAATGAGTACGTACATTAGAAGAAAAACAGGAGTATGCAAGAAAATGGCCTATGGTCTAGTTTTGCTGGAAGCACTTTTTATTGGCGGGAAAAAACAATATCTAAAATACATATGTGATGGGGCCCTTGTGGCACAGTGGTTAAGAGCATGGTTACCAACCAAAAGGTCAGCAGTTTGAATCCACCAGTCACTCCTGGGAAACACTACAGGGCAGTTCTGCTCTGTCCTATAGGGTTGCTATGAGTCAGAATCGACTCAACAGCAACAGGTTTGATTTTTGGTTTTCATAAGGACTGAGTACTGTGAGTTACATATTATTATCCCCACTATATAGATAAGCAAACTGAGGCTCTAGGAGTCAAGTTCACATAACTATCATGTTTAGAGCTGAAAATCAAACCTAGTTCTAGCTGATTCCACAATCCTTGTAACTATTATGCCACTGTGTGTGACCATGATAATGAAGAAGCTTCCAAAGCCATCACCTAACATCTTGAGAAGATAAACATAACTGTTTCTACATGTTTGCCTTTTTCTCTCTACTTTTATGACCACCTATTCCTAGATGTACTGTCTCTTTTTATAAAAGAAAACAAGATGCTAAGACAACTCAATGGGGAAGGAATAATCTATTCAACAAATTGTTCTGGGACAACTGGATCTCTACATGCAGAGGAACAGAATTAGACCCCACCTCACACTATATACAACAATCTATTCAAAGCAAGTCATAGAAATAAATATGAGAGCTAAAACTATAAAACTCTTACAAGAAAACATAGGAGTAAATTTTTCTGACCTAGGGTTAAGCACAGTCTTAAATGTGACGCAAGAGACAAAAGAAAAAGTAGATAAATTGGACTTCATCAAAATTTAAAATGTGCTTCAAATGAGGAGGAAGGAAGAAAAGAAGGAAAGAGGGAAGGAACTCAAAAGTGTGTTATGTGGTTGATCTCCACCATGCAGCTCAACAGGGAAATCCAAGTGTTATACCAAGATGCCAGTGACAAAGAAGGATTTTTCCCTGGAGGTCCTGAAGTCTAATGGTAACACAGGAGCCACACTCCTGTCTGCCTTAAACTGCAAATAGCTGAGGCAAGAAAGCCTCAACAGTCTCTACATAATCCTCTTTTACTCCTTCTCAGTGGTTAAAAAAAAAAAAAAGTGTGGTAACATCTGATATCGAAAAATAATGAGAAACTAATTGGCTCTGTAAACCCTCATCTAAAATACAATAAAAAAAGAAAATGATGATTATGACAGAAAAGAAGGCAGAGAAGGAGGAGGAAGAAGAGGTTTAAGAAGAGGAAGTGACAATTCTGAAAGGATGTAAGGGAAAGTAGTTTTTAATTGTATCGTCAATAACATGAAAACATGGGGGGAAATAAAGCCAGAGAATAACAATCATAAAGAAATATTTTAAAGGGTTTTTTTAAATTATTTTGCAGTATTACAGCCAAAAAAAAAGGAGCCACCAATATAAGTGTTGTTAATTCATGTGAAAGATAGCAATATTTCCTTAGAATGTAACAGCACAAATAATGAATAAAATTAGTCACTTGTAGAAATAACCCAAGGGATTTTGTGACTACGTGGCCAATGAGACTTGGGAATAAGTGGCTTAAGTGGAGTACTAGAAAGGCATCAATAAAATATAATTTAACTAAGGAAAATCCAATCAATTATATTGATCCACATTTGAAGAAAGGCTTTACTAACAGAAGATCAGCATGAAACCTAAATAAATACAGGGAGTCAATGAGCAAGAATTTGATAGTTTCTATCACCACTGCCCAGTATAGATAGTACCTGACACAGAGAAGGAGCATTCCAATCTTCCTGGAAGAATACCACATCTCTAAAAGGAATACGTGTTATCTAATTTTCTGAGCCTCCTGCACAGCGATCTTCTAATTATAATTTAGCTTTTGACACAGATTTTTCACTCGAGGAAAATGCACTGACTAATTGACCCATGTATTTAGGTCTACTTAGCAAATGGAAGTTGGCATTATGTTTTGTACATCAGTCACTTGTGAGTTCATTTAGCAGGAGTCAATCCTCCTGCATGCACATCCCTTTCGGAATGCTAATAAAATGAATTTTCTAGGCTTATAAAAAGAGATCATAACCATGTTCCTAGAGATTGCCATCCTACACCCTGCCCCTTGGTATGTCTGGGGGTGGGGGGCAACAAGAGCAATCAGGGGCCTCTTTATTTTGAAACTCTCGATGTGTAACAATAAGAATTTTCCCAAACATATAAAAATCTCACTAGTTAGGGCTAATTAAAAGAAGTCTCTCTGCATTACTCATGCCATATAAGACGTATGGTTTTATTTTCATTACATAGGATAAGTGGAATGTATTAATATATCCCTAAATAGTTTTCTTAGGTCTTTGGACAACAGCCATAATTAATAGATAAGTTACATTTATAAACAGCATAGGAATTGTTTATGTGTGAGTAAAAGCTTCTAACATGTTTAGAAGGTTTTCAAAACAATGCTGTAGTCTTAAACATTTTGCTTTTAATCTCTTGTACTCAATTTGCTTAACAAACTCACCTTCATAAACAGTTTGACAGGAAATTTCAAGCTAGCCCCTAGGAATTTTTAATTAAGGAAATTTGAACAATGAGTTATAATAATTTTTTAAATTTATAAAT